AAACGGATTAATTATCTTAGCTATATGTATAAGCAACAATGATTCCCGGCGCAAAATAATATTTTTGGATTGGTCTTCAATTTATTGTATTAACAATATGGGATCGTTATGAGCCCCACGCGAATAATGGTATCACGAAAACTGATGCCACTCGTAAAGGATGGCTTCATTATGAGGACATTTTCAAGATACGGATCTGAAATTATAACCTACTTAATGGTTATGCGTGAAAAATTACAAAATTATTTACCATCTAGTTTGCGAGATACATGAAATGAAAGTAAGTAGTCAAAATTGCACTATACTATACATATATATAACACACTTCGTATATTAAAAAAACTTTATTTTGTGAAATATCTCAGCTTCTGGCAAAAGTAGGTGAAATTTCTAGGACACTCTTCTTTTACTTAAAACATTACCATAATGATTTTTTAATAAAAAATATTTGAATTTTACAAAGATTTTTTTTACTGCATTGATTAAACAATATGTGGCATGAACGTTTTGTAAACGATAAATCCATCCATCCACTTGTCTCAAAGACAATGCGTTAAAAATAGTTTTGTAATAATAGATATATAGGGTATTCACAAAAATAAAAAGCACTATCATTACGATGCTACACTAACCACTTCAAATAGGTATATCACATCGATCGAATTTGAGGATTAATCATATAATGATATGCATTTTAAATTTGTTTTTACCTCTTTTTCAGTTGTTGACATTCAAATTTACTTTTACAACCTGAATGCATAATTTTTACCATTTTGCCAATAGAGAGGCTGTTTGTACACTTCCTAGCTACGCACTTAGACCTTTTTGTTCTCTCTCGCGCTAATATAATAATTACAATTGCGTAGACTTACGATCAGCTCCAGAATATAATGGACCAAAGTAATTGAAGTATTGGGTTAATCGCATTCTACATATTTTGAATTCCCATAAATGCCACTGTGTGTATACTATATGCTCGTATCAATATTGTGACTTGCAATAAGTATTTATAAGGTTTGATGTCACGTATTAAAATGAAGATTTAAAGTAAATTGAATAAATAGAAAGGATATTTTAATAATGGATGAGTAAATCACTATAATGACTTTTGAACTCTTCGCGATGGTAATACTTTTTATAACATCCCGCACTTGGACCACAGAGTTAATTATTTTGTGCATATCTTCTGTTTGCATAATTCTGCAAGTATCCACACTGGCATACCAACAAATTTTCAGTTTAAGTAAAATAATATACATCTTAATAGGTTAAAAAAAACTTACAAATCTGCGAAAAAAACATTCATAAACGCAACCAGTTTTGGCAAATTTTGAAACTCAGGAAATAGGAAAATTCAATCCAAACGCGTCCTTGTTAGCATAAATTTCGAAAGGACGTCTTAATGAGGACTTCGAGACGTTATTTGATCTGAAGACGAATTGAAGTCATCTTTAAAACGGACCCTTTGACAAAAGTGCTAGCAGGCTAGGCTAACAGGGTCAATGAATCGATGAAATCATGATAAAAAAATGAATGGTCCAAGTGACCGAAGTCGAAACACCTAAATGAAATAACAATCATATAGTAGAAAATAAATATAAATCGAACGCTGCACTTGTATATAACACAAGAATGATACAAAATAGTCATGAATAGCCTTGCTGTAATATACATACCCAATACTAAAATATACCATTTTTCCTTTTATTTTTGTAACCGCCTACTTTGAATCGCTTCCTTGCCTTTAAAGTTCAAGATATGTTTTCAATAATCACATAACTCGTGGCAATAATTCACAACAGCAAATTAGTAATAGGCGCTAATGTCATTGCTTTTTTTTTTATCGTAAATAAAAAGCTAATTAAATCGTAATATATGTCCTGCTATTATCACCATTCCACAAACAAGGTTCTTCCCGTATTGACTCGTGGACGGAAAAATGTCTGGTATGTCCTTCGCGTACTTTTTCAAAACTAGCTTTAAACGTAGATGTAAAGTGTCAAGGGTAGTCCAGGTCATTAATCGTAGTTGACCATGCGAGTATAAACTGTAATACGAGTCACCTTGGTAGATTTTTATCACACACTGAAGCAAGGGATTTTTTCCGTTCAAACGTTGATCTCAAAAACATGCCGAAGGGAATTATAATAGAATATCGTATTTGAAATGATCTAGCTCTGAAATAAAATTTTTCTCTTAAAAATTTCATACCATTTTCAACTACGAGGAATTTATTGCGTTACGATCCAGACATAAATATACTATTTGGCAACCGTGAAAGTATCTTTTCCCTTTGATATTAATCTAACGGGTTGGTCTTCTGGTTACAAAATAGACTATACAGGTTGTGTACAACATATCAAATCTTACAATTTTCACAACTGACGCAATTGTTATATAATTCCATTGTATCGCAAATTCACGAGTATCACATTAACAATAATATCCTCAAAAAGGTTCATATCGAACGAAACATTAGTAATCTCAATTATGAGGTACTATGAAAATTTTTCGATCTTCTTGAAAATCACCCAGGAACACAGTGGTAAAGTACCTAGTCTTATAAACTAATAATGAGTCAAGGAAAATTTCAATTACGCAATCATGTTACTATATGTATATGGTGTAATGATACGTGGTACCGCAGTAAGTATTACTAGAATCCTCTATCAAAAAATATCTACTGAATTACCGTAATTTGGGATTGCTATACGTTTCATATCCGTATAAAACACGTTAGTTTTGTAACGACCATAGATTTTTTATGGACTATAATTTCCTGACATGAACACGTGTTTCTTCAAGAAAATAGATATATGCTATGGGGAATCATTGGAAGTAAATTAAGCACACGCGCAGTTTCATTTGACAAGCGTGACATCGTTACGAACTGCAGTGAACTTTCTCGACGATTCTCGGGATGCGTTCGAAGGACATCTGAAAAAGGAGAGGATACTTTAAGAAAAGAAATACTTATTTCTCTTACAATCGGGGTCCCGTCTAAACGATTCTAAAAATACGTTAAGCCGGGTTTCTATACATTATGAAAGTTTGGTGCATACATGGAAAATTGTCCGTCAATTTTGAGGTTAATATTTTAATGGAAAAATGTTGGAAATAATCTAATTGACGCGACTGATATGTTCTGATGTTGTGGAGGGAAAATATAAGGAAATTATACAATCAGAATAAACAATTCAGCTAGTGGCACAATCTTATATCTTAGGCATCTGACCGTGTCAACTATCTGTATCTTCCTAGCCTGGAGGGATTAATGAATATTAACTAGCAATAAATATCTTCTTTTATAATATTCATCTCAGCAGTCGGAATTATCATTGAGGTCAGTATCACATATTAAAACTTCCTATACACTCGAAATACTAACCAGTCAAATGTGTTTTGCACGTTGACGACCTTGCGTCTTTGCACAACAGGATATTGGTACGTAAATGACAGGGTATTAAACGCCTATACAAGAAATTCGAATCCGACTTAACGTTACTCCGTTCAGCATCGTTTCGTTGTGACCCGCTTTTAGAAACGGTCGGTAAAAGAACTACACCACATGCATCACCGTTAAAGCTGTTTCGTTTAGTTCTCTAAATTCTAAAAATATATCCTTAACCCGTTAACCCGAATCTTACTGTATACATTTATTTACCGAATCGCAAAAAATTGCACTCTTGTAAAAATAAAGGTACCCAACGTAACGACTCCATTAACACGCATTGATACATGTCATATAGGGAGATTGAAAACTGGTTAAAACATATCAAACGGCGCCAGATATCGGAAAAAATAACAAATCGGTTTCGTGCATCCTGCAAATACTATGGGTATACTTTATGTGACTTAATTTTACACTATAAATATTTAAACAATTTCAGGTTGTACTTTGCGATTATTACAACTTCCTCTCATCGATATCCCTAAAAATAAACTTTCCTTTCGTTAATACTCAGAATCCGTCAAGGATCAGTCATGGGCATTGCTTTCTAGGCGTTTAAGTTTAGGTTTACTGTCCTCTCTTTAAAGTGTATGAATCATGCAACCGAACGTAGGCTTAATTGAGTAACTCAAAATCGAAATAGTCAACGTTACTTTGCATGATGAGGTTTCATTTAAGATTGCTCATATGCCTCTGCAAGGTTTTGGTACCGAATTCAAGATTTTTCAGGTGTCAACGACAAAGATAGTCCTTGAATAAAAGATGGTGCTATTTAATATCAAGGAATTTAAATAAAGATTACCCTTGGTATTATACAATTAGTGTCAAATATTTAAACATTTATACATAATAAGACAAACACAGGGAAAATGTTTCAGGGTTATTTTCAAAAAAAAAAATTATTAATTATTTTTATCTGAAATTTGTTCACAAAATCATTGTCTTTTATTATAGCTAATTCCATTCTATTATACATGTGGAAATTTCCCATCCACTACCTGCATATCGATGATCAAACGAGTTCACTGAATTAATTGATTCTTGCTAGGATTGAAACTGCATTTAATGTTATGTTAATGCGTGAAATGCTCGCGTATTATCTATTCTTTCTATTAAACGTATGACGTAGTGTCTGTTATTCCAATTTTTTTTTTTTTAAAGAAATGTATATCAGTAAACAGATATACGTAAGTAAGATTAACATCTTATTACCTGGTACTTGTTTCTTGTCCTTTTTATACAGAATTTCTAGATCGAAAACAGAAACTTCTTCTTACATGTTTGCGTGACCTTCTCCATGTCATATTTTCCAATGGTGGGTTATTAATGTGGCATAATTGTATCGGATTGCGGAAAATGCATGCAATATCAAATCAAAATATCTGAGTCTCGGTCTCGGATAGTTTGGGAAATTTTAATCTAAATTTAATTATCTTGAAGGAGGAATATTAAAACTTGACCTCGTACCCTTATGACATATTCCAAAAAATACATTTTTTTTTAAGTATAAACCACTGTACCTAACTCATCATTGAATTTTATTTTTCAGGTAGGATTGCTGTCATTCTTTTTGGTCTGCTGGCTTTGACAATCGGTATAATCCTGTGCACCATACCATGGGTCGATTACGTTATTTTAAGGGTAAGATATAGGATGAAAATTTCAAAACAGATAATATTTAAATTCGTGCATTAAGAATATTCAACTTTTACAATTATGGTAAATAACAAGTTAGCTCTTAATTAACGAGACAGGGAGTTAGATCTCTTTCGACATTATGTAATCTTACGGATAATATAATAATAAATTAACGATATTACATATTAGGAATAATTTTGCACTAATATTCTTTTTTTTTTTGCCACAGCAATTAAGGCTGTGGAATGGATCGCTATCTTTCCAGTATTGGCAAAAACCGGGTGTCGTGCGACTGACCAAAGTCTACATTTTCAATGTGACCAACAGTGAAAATTTCTTAAATTTCAACGAGAAACCGAAACTTCAGGAGATTGGACCATTTGTTTATAAGTAAGTAAATGATGATAATAATTTAATTAAAAATATTTAGAATCTTTAGTACTTATTTAATTATCATAAAATCAAAATATTTGACTCGACAGTAACATATTACCTCGGCTACGTCATGTATGTCATGATAATTAGATAATTAAAAATAGAAACTCTATAGTAGGCGATGCATTTACTCAAACAATTTCAAATTATCTTATACGAATATGAATAATCTTTCTGTTTTCCTTATATTTTTTTAACAATCATCATAATTTCATAAGATATTTTCAATCAATTTGATGCACTCACTTAACTGTATTATTTAGCACACTTATACAATCAAGAATAAACACTTTTCTTTATGATCTTTATTCATATCTTCTTACGACGTATCTAAGGATTTCTACCTGCATTTCTTCTGTGTGCAATTATTTGAAACTCATGCGCTAATGGTGACGTAGGTCAATTTCTATAATATACAATATTTTTAATCTCACACTAAAGCATGATTGCAAATTTCGAATAAACATCTATGCTAAGAGGAGTGACCTCGTGGTATTAGAGATTTCATATTTACTAATACTCCCGTGTATATGAATAATGAATTCCTATGGCTGATGTCATCTTTTGAGACAATCCTAAACCCATGAAGAACGCTGATCATATTCATAACTATGCACAGCTGTTTAAAAAGATAATATATGTAACAACCTGTATGATCGATTTGTATTGCGTGTTAGATAGACTCCTAAACATATGTTATCTGTACACTAAATAAGAACATTACGCGTTCTATGGTTTGGAAACATAGATATACATGTAAATTTTGTTAGTCGTGCACACTGCGGCCTTCAAAATATTTTATCGTAAATCAAATAATTGAATTTAAAAAAATAATACCTCGGTGATGGTATATCCAAAATATTATGGTTCAAGTTGCATACGACATTGTCTCATATTAAAAATAGTATGCTGAAAGAAAAGAGTAATATAAGCATTCGTTTTCATAAGTAATTTGCACTACAATCGGTCCATGAGTTCGATATGTTATTTTAACAGTTCGCAAGCAATAAATTGCAATCCCTGGCAAATCGCACGTGCTTTTCTGTAAAGTAACTTTAAAATATGTTAAAATAGAAAATGAAATATATATTTAATGAAAAATTGTCAGTAACAAATATTTTATACAGTGAAAAGTGTCCCTTGCTTATAGCCTTCATTGTTTTTGAGCTGTCAAGAAAACACATAGAACTCGTGGACTGAATGTATAAATCAGTGAACTTTGTAATACCTGTAATGGACATCCCGTAAAATGCAAAACTCATCGATGCTTTTTCTTTAATGCACCATTCGTGTATACAAGTACCGCTATCGCCTATTATGGTTGCAGTTACGTACACTGATAAGAAATAATGTATGATATATCTATGGTTAATAGGTCAATTTCCACGTAGAAGTGACAAGCCTCAATGACTTTTAACGTAGCTTGTTGTACTATATATGCATATGCTACGGCTTGCAAATCATAGAAGATGTAGGTCAGGTTCAAGAAGAGTTCAATGTCCAGTTATACATACATAGTATCCATTATCTTCTCGAATGAAAGTTGCAATGAATATATTGGAAATTTCTTAAAATGCTCATTATATGAATTGTAGTGTAAGTCTTTAATAAAATTTGTAATCTAATCGAAATATGTTTATATTTATAGTAATATCATTTTTGAATTGAACAAGCAAAAAAAGGAAGAAACTATCGTCAGCATGTAAATTTTTAACGCATTAAAAAATAGTATATTTTTTGCAACCTTTCGATTAGAAATTCTACGATTGATAGATTTAAAAAAAAAAGACGGCTACTATAGAAATGTATAATATGATTTAGGCCAAATCGCGAATTCTTTTCGATGTTCTTGGGTGAATACTGTTAAGAGAGTAGTCCCTGTCTGACGGATTAGGTCAACAGGAAAGTTTGCAAAATTCAAAATTTCACGTTCACTACTGGAGGACGTATTGCGTCCTTGGTGTTTTGATGTGACTTACTGAAATCGTTAATGCCAAGGTGAACTTTGCCTTGTAAAATGTACGTTGACGGTTTGAATGAATTGAAAAATCAGGTGCTAATATAAGACAGCCCATGTGGCGATCCATAAAATTAATAGTAATATTTTTATAAAAATGTAGAATGTGGAATGCAAAATGGAACAGCAAAAAGAAAGAGATAAAATGTCTTAAAAATTTAATTACTTTTTTTGTCAAAATAAAGTACCAAACATGCAGTTTCATTATTATGTGTCGAACTCTTGAAATACATGTGTATATGTTCCAAGGAGAGAATTAGGTGCTAAAAATTTCTGTAAAAATCACGATAAAAATTATCGTGAGGATAGTAACCTCGAGGCATCTTGTCATATAGATATTTTTTTTTACGAACATAGTCAGAACATCTTTCGTTTGTCACAAGTGAATTTTCCAATCAGCGGGGTAAAAAGCACAGCAAATATATTTTAAAGTATATCTTGAAAATTTAATTTTGTCATAAAATTTACAGACTTTTTAAAATTGAATGTCATGTACAAAGTATTTCACTGTAATTACATTATTATTCCAAATGTAGATTTATAATGTAGACTGAAATTGTCTGATGTCCCATGATTACCGTGTCAATAATTTTGGCATAAAATTCTCGTCGTGTATGAGCAGCAATAATCGAGATCAGAAATATTACAAAAATCAATTTCCAAAATCTGTAGAATTTAGTGCCACTTTTGACTCTAAATATCATCACGTCTACTATTAGGAAATAATTTTTGTCATTTTATGTGCTATCATAAATTAAAAATTTGCTATTGACTATGTCTAGTTTAGTAGCAATGATCTTATAATCATGCTTGGCAGTTGCAAAGAGTTTTCAGGTACGAAGTTTTGTATAAAAGTGAAACTGATGAATAAAGATTGCGACAGACCATAATTTTGGCAAGCATTCTACACATATAAAATTCCGCAAGGCATATAATTCGGTGTATTCGTTAAATGAAAGAATTCTAAAACTAAATATTTCAGTGAATAACTTGGTAGCAACAGATTTGATTAGTTAAATATACATATGAATAATGCTAATATATTCAATAAAATTTGTATTTAGATTTTACCATGTTATGATATTAAATAACATAGAAATGCCAGATTACGAAAAGCATATGTCGACCGGACTTACCAGTTAGATGAGAAACCAAGTTTAGTTTTGTGAAAGTAAATTACAGTCACAAGAGCAAAGTTTATCCTGAGATAAATATTGCCAATATAAATCGTGATTCAAGTTTTGACATTACTCGTAACACTTGAAAGATTCAGAATTGCGTGGAATATAATTTTTAAGTCTAAATATCTCTGTAGAAATTAACCCAAATTATTTGAAGAAACCATCTTTATGATATCCTAGATTTCATATCATTGTCTTGCAACAGACAAATAATAAGATCGCTATAAAAATGAAAATATTATAAAACTTCTTAGTTCGTCATCACTATTTTACAAACTCTTCAGTTCACGAAATTCCGTCATCTAATATCCATTTAAACCAGACCACGGCCACTCCTGGTTACAACTAATCCAATCGTAAAGTCCCATGCATCACGTTCGTTTCATAATACGTCTTCGTGGTGACGTATATTCTTCCAAAAAAAAAAAAAAAAAATCCTATTTATCCCAGTAAGAACATTTGCAAAAATTATATAAACCTGTCATACCCAGTATGACGAGTTCGGCAAAAAGAAACGTATGAGACGACCATATTGACATAACTCCTGAGAATTCCACAAGAAAGTAGGTCTAGTGACATAAACATGCGGAAACGGGATTCTTAAACTTTTATTGTTTTCCATAAAACTAGTTAGACGTTGAAAATGAAATTTCGTGAATAATTCAGTTAAAGTGAAGAAGCATCCTTGTATTCGGTCATTTTTAATGAGTGTGTCTTTATATCAAGAACACATTATTCGGCTATCCTCTTTCCTCGTAATATACTATACTTCAGATTCAAAGGAAATTTACCCGGTATAACAGAATTCATTTTTAAGGAGTGGCTCGCTACGTATGCTTGCTTAAAACTCTGTCTTTTATAACCACACATATATAGGCATATATGTAGAATAATCAGTATATAAATATTCGCTTTCTACTGGAGCTTGTTGCCGGCTTGTACATTCTTTAAGGTGCATGTGCATGTTACGCGACCTGCATCTCCTTGGCTCAGGTACTATTACATTCCCGTACGTAATTGCATAATGAGATAAAATCACCGAAGTGCGGTAATGCAACGAGAAGAGAGAATGGTCCATACCCGTTTGTCAGTCGAGAAGTTTTCTTCGAAAGTTTCAGACAGGTGAAACGCAGGAAGGTTGAAATTGCTATACGGAGAAATGGAGTGCCGTAGCGGCACAAGGCTATCGAAAAGTAGTCACTGATCTTAGAAATTGGGAAATTTGGCCTATAGGCTCCACTGACGTAACGTGTAATGCTTATTTAGTAAATAATGGGTTAATACATCCTGGAGTAATGTATATGTATAGCCCTCGTAATTTTTTACGCAATATGAACAAACATTGCGATACATTTAATAATCACCAATATATCCATCTTCGGATGACCTAAATTTCGATACAACTTTTTATGAATGAGCCACGTGGAATGATAAAGTTATTATATAACAGTTAGAACCAATTAATTAGTCATAAGTGTTAATTAACAATGAAACATTTCATTGAAGGATGTCAAATATATTTCATTTTAATTTCACTCCAAGGTCGTGTATTGTATCTCCGAAAAGTTCGTAATATTTTAATATATATTCGGTTGTCACCATTTAAAATTACTTTAAAAACGAAAAGCGTCAATAATTCTATATTAAAACTATGAAGAACACTGAAAGCGGTCTTATTGTAAAGCAATAGTTGATAACGAATAACAATAAAGAAACAATATCATCAATTTCGACTGAGTCTTAATAGAAGATTTGAATTACTCAACACCATAGAACTAAGCGAGCTGCCAGTGTAGAATATTTGAAAAAGTAACAAAAGAATTCACTTCGTTCGTTAACAGTTACTCGTTTTTAAGTTGTGGTCAATGATTCCCATTGAAAGTGCTACCAACCACAAGAACGCATAAGCAACCGTCATATAAACGTTTTACAGTACATAATGACTGACACCCATAAAGTACGTAAAGGTACATGAACACGCGCAAAATTGTATTATTCCTTCAATACCCAACACGCTCGCCGTAAAATGTAGGGACGAAGAACGAGCATTTTTTTCGAATTCATGCTTCGTCTGTTCCAGTGGTCTGAATTGCCACATAAAAAGAAAGGCAAAAAAATTAGAAGCGAAGAATCTATAACTGAAACTTTTCCTCCTGTCATATTACCAGGTTTCTATTATCGAGAACAGACACTCACCAACAAGGTTAACAGAGTTTGACTATTGGCACAGGCTTTTAGAAGGAAGTACCAACGACCTCATTTTCCACAGTCTTTATGACCTACTAATTCATCTTGCAATGCATACAACACCTGTTGACGTATAAGTCGAGATTATGTACTGAAATGACGGAATGAAAGACAATTACAACAAGTCGAATGAAAATGTTGAACCTTTGACATTCATCGTTACTATAATTCAGACACAATAGAAATAGATAGGTCGAATTTTTTACAAATAAATTTTATAATTTCTATTGATCAGCGTAATCGCTTGTTTTCGAATTAACGTAAGAATGCATATCGAAATGATATATATATGTAGAGTGATACGAGAACGTTGAATTACCAAGTAGATAGAACACCTTTTATTAGCCACTTGAAGCTTGTGATATAAGAATTTCAATCATGAACAATTCCAATGTGTTTGAGCAATTTCATTCATTGACTACAATACACCAACTCATTTTAATGGTAGGATCCTATAAATGGATAACAAGCGTAGATTTCCACGATAAAGTTAATCGTTTATTAAACAGTAGTCAATTACAGTATTTTAACCGATCGATATCGAGTGCCCGTAACTACCATTATATTGAACTTATCGATTATCTCTTTAACTCGATTTAGGAAATTTTCAACTTTTCAATTTTTTTGCAAATCGATGTATCGCTTCGTATGATTGACTTAAGAAGTGAATGTATAAATCGATAATAACTTTTTTCGGAAAGGTATAAAATTTATTGCAATTGCTGTTACCGCAACCATTTATTCCTGAACGGAGTGTATTGTACAACAATAGGACGATCGTAGCGACATCGTGAACATTTATATTAGTCTGTCATGGGACTGGGTCATCGCTTAGTGATAAATTGCATGGGGCATCACCTGTATGCACTTTAAATGCAAAAGCCTAGAGGGTCGTCAGACTTGTTATTTAAGCATTCGTGCGCAATACTGTCTGGAAAACCACCAGAAAACATTGATTCTTGATCGTATTAAAACTAGTTTTATTTTCTGATAGGAACAGCAAAACTTAAAGAGAGAAGAGAAAAAGAAAGAGAGAGAGAGAGAGAGATCTTCGCATTCTTGAAACTTACCTCATTCAATGATAATTAGTAGTAGTTACGATAATGATTGCGCAGTACCTAATTAGTGAGTGACTCTTTGCTTTAAAGAAAAAGTCTTTTTAAAAACGGCCCTGAAGGAACAAGACGAAGCCTATACACATGATCGGACTTTTTGATTTACTTTAATCTCGCAACACATTTATTTCACAACTCGCCCATCCAGACTGAAAAGTTTCACCTGGATCTCACGAGATCAGTAATGACATTTCATTTTCGTGCTGCTCAATGAAGTCCCAGAGAACCATTTAACTTTCGAAAATAGGGTAGCTAACTGGCCGATTTTATAACTATAGGATGTACGGATATAATTGCCTTGGGAATAATACGAAAGAGAAATTAAATTGCTGGACTTTAAATGTTCATACGCATGAAGTTTATTTAGCATATTACATCAACTTATACTAGTCGACATATGGACTCTTCATTATGGCAGTATTGTCGCTAGTATAATCGTGATTTTCAATAGGTAAACTTATCAATATACATAATTTGCCTTGCTGCTTTAACCTTGTACCTCTGTATTAAGAATTTTACATGCACAGTATCAATTATTATTATTTTTTGAATGATTCTATTTTCCTCGTCAGAAATCATCGACTTCACTTTCCGTTTTGAATATTCACATAATATATATAAAGTTGGTCTACGAATAAAATTGAAGCTCCAAGAGACTCCTTTAGATCGAGTGATAAGAAAATGACCCCGTAATATTTAATACAATTTGCTCGTAAACGTTCTGTGTTACGTATGCGATACTATAGAATAAAATTGCCTGATTATATATACTATAATACTTTTGGGTAACAATATTGTCTAAATAACTCACAAAGTCAGGCAATTAATGAAATATCACCTTTCTACGATTTAAGTGCTGAATGCAAATTTTACTTGTTATTGATTATGAATAACTTTTTCTTTGCAAATTGTTTCAGGGAAGATATGGAGAAAGTGAACATTGCTTTTCACGACAATGGAACGGTGACTTATCAGCACAAAAAAATCCTCAACTTCGTGCCAGAAATGTCCAAAGATGGAAATCTGCAGGTTTTGGTGCCCAATATACCTCTGCTCGTAAGTCAACCAAATCATTTGTAATAAAAAATCATTTGTAGTAATATCATGTAGGAAGACCACTCGCAATAAGTATTTTTAATCAGTCGGACGGGCAAAAATCTTGCCAAAGAACCTTGCAAATCTTCTAAAAAATGCCATAGCCTTCGTCTTTATGAAGATCGGACAGTGACTTCAGTCCAACATTCTACAGAACTTATTACGCTGTAAATTATGAGAGCACCAATTAAAATAGTGATATAATTTCAAGGTTAATTTTTCCACGAATTGCCGATGATGAGTATTATTATTATTATGTGACAGAATGTCATCTCGAAATGTTAATATCAATTTTATTACCTAATAAAATGCCTAACGAAGCACTTGTGTATTCTAATGAAAATACACAAATTGAATTTGACTACGCTACGTTATGCCAAAAATTCTTTTCATTCGCCCGAATGAATGTATGATGATTCATTCAAAATATTTTTTAACCCTACGCGCTTCTTTTGATCGTAACAAGCTACTAAAATTTGGAACCTCTTTACATTTTCTTCACATGCCAAATGCCAATGCGCCAATAAAACAGGCGAAATATTTACTAACATTAACCACGATCAATCCCTCGAAAAATGCTAAATACAATTGCGAAAATATATTCTAGAGATGCATCATCATTACATAACCATCATGATTACAGTTGAATAATAACATAACTATTTCTCCTTTCTTCCTGACTGATATATAAAAACTGAAATCATATTAAAAAATTGTCTAATACAATATTACCTTTGTCTTATGTTTTATAGACTTTATCAACACAAAGCAAAAGTCTTCCAGGATTTTTAACTGCGGGTCTTTCAATATTCCTAAGTGGAATGGACATGAAACCATTCGTTCCAATCACCGCTCAAGAGCTTGTTTTTGGCTACGACGATCCACTGGTGAGCCTGGCGCATCGATTTTTTCCAAAAACGCGAAGACCTATGAGTCAAATGGGTCTTCTCCTTGGGGTATGTCGTGATACAAATTTTACATAACTATTATTAAGGCTATAACCACAGTTAATCAAAATGTCCATGAATCAATGTTACGGATCGAAAACCAAATATTAATTTCACGCAATTTGTAATCAAAAAGGTTAACTAATGAGAGAAAATGATCTTTTACAGAGAAATGGCACTTTGAATGAGGTATCAACCATTTATACGGGTCACACAGGCATGACAAATTTTGGAATCATAAATAGGCTCAATGGTCTAGATCGATTGCCATATTGGCCAGACGCACCTTGCAATTCCATCCGTGCTTCAGAAGGTAACAATTACAACTTCCTATATTTTCCCCTTACAAGCGCTACATGGATGAATTTAAAAAACAAAGGAAACTTGCGTAACGATTCAATAATCCCAGCAGCCCGTTTAAGTAATTTCCAACTCGTGACCTAACAAGTCTACCGTCTATTGTTTCATTGATCACTAGCATTCATACGTAGCGACAAATTATGCCGTAAGTCATGAAATTGACTTAAATTATTCGTTGCAGCACGTACATGTGCTACTTCAGATATCTCATGTTGATATCATGCTGTAAGGAGTGAATAAAGATATTACGTAATGCATATCAACAATATTTCCAAAACTTTAATTTTACGTAACACCATAAACCAAATATCTTTTACCTTTAAATAGTATATACATATATATATCATTATACTCATGTACTCGTATTGTTCTTTGTTATATATATTTTTACATTCACAATGTTACGTAATATATCGGCTCGTGTACGAGTTGGCCGAACACAAAACTAGTATTTCGAGATACACGTCTTTACGAGTGAATAACTGGTTACATAGGTTCGTTTTTCCCGCCCCGGGATACAACAGGGGAAGACATCGTTCATATATGGGATAAGGATCTTTGTCGTGTGTTGCCACTGCAATATCGTGGACCGTCGGAAAAAACTGGAATAAAGGCCGACTTGTACACTCCATCGGATACTATATTCGATCCTCCATCGGCAACGACACCTGATAACGAATGCTTTTGTCCGGATAACCCGAAAGATTGTCCGCTCAAAGGATTACAGGATATAAGTCCTTGCCAATACAGTAAGTATCTGTATTTCAGTTTTGTCGTATTATAAAAGATTTTATTTTCTCGAAAGAAGCAAATGGACACAAGTTTGCTTGTTGATATGTAAATTAGACACTTGCGGGACTCTTCGCCTACTTGTAATACCTAATGTACTTGAACTTTCATAATTAAAGAATTGCTAAAAATAAATTCAAACTGTATACTATATACATTTTTCTATAAGGGTTAGTCGGTATAACATGATGATAATGTTGGATTTACCATAGAATTCAAATAGACAGGCTCACTTTGACTTGAATAACCCTGTAGATGTATTGGACAACGTTTACGAATTTTTCGGGGATAATTTCATTTGACCAGAATGTCATGTACAACTTCTGCAATCTATACTTGAATTATGTCCATATTATGCCAATTTGACTTATTATCTGTTACCGACACAGAATTTAATGTAATGTACAGCAGTTATATTTTTGCGGGCACTGCAGAGTATATATTGATTTAAGTAAAAATTGTAATATATTCTGCCGTTGCAACTGATGGTTTTTCTTTTTTCTTTTAAATAATCTTTTGCACGCTTATACAGGCACCACTTCAGTAATAACGCTTAAAAAAAATAAAATAAAATCAGCGAACTAGATTAATTGTCCGGTCTACCTTGTTTTAAGTTACCAGACAACTGATCGCAAAACATCAGATAATCACGTAAACAGCTTGTGATGAAATAAATTATTTTGACATTAAAATATTTCCAGGTGCTCCAGTCTACATATCGTTCCCGCATTTTTACAAAGCAGATCCTCGCCTCTTGGACGCAGTGAGTGGCTTGAAGCCAGTGCCAAAATTACACGAAACGTATTTCAAAATACAACCGGTCAGTGAAAACGTGAAACAAATTATATAACTTCAGAAAATTACTCTATACATTTTTAAGCCGTAACCTGAAATATTCACGGGATTAATATCTATTGAATTAATATTTTAGAAATTGGGAGTACCTGTAGAAGGCAAAGTTCGCGTTCAACTGAATTTGAAGGTGGAGCGTCAAGCAAATATTGGAGTAGTTGCCAACTTCCCGGATATCGTTTTTCCAATAATGTGGCTGGAGGAAGGGATTGAGGAGTTGACACCGCCTATTAGAAGATGGGTTTATCTTTCAACAACATTTGCCGACGTGGCAGCGCCTTGTATCAATTACGGTTTAATTCTAGTCGGATTTATAGCAATAATCGCTGCTGTCGGAAAGACTTACAACGACGTGATATTTATGCACGAAGCTATTGAAATGAGCAAAAGAACAATTAGAAGAGGTTCCTCTATTATAGGCACACAGCACAGGCTGCTCGTGGTTAGAGAGTCTTACGTTTTATTAAATAACGACATGGAGGAAAACAAGGAAATGGTTGAAGTATAATAAGACGGTACTAAGGACAAGTACTTGAATCAGATCAAAATATGTCCAAATTATCAAATACATAAAGCGGGTACTCCATTTCTGCAGTATTGTAAGATAAAAACATGTTGATCCTCGATGCAACACAGCACACGTTCGTAAAACCGTTTATACGTGTGAATCATTGTTGGGATCTTTAAAGATATATACATATATATTGTACTAATATTATTTCTGGTATGGTTTATCCGATCGAGTTTAGTACTTGAATTAAGGTATTACTACGGTAAACTCAAAACCGCGTAATCGAGCTGAAATTTGTTTTACGTCTAATGTGTATAGCAGTACATCTCTCTACAAATTTTTAACACGATTCACTCATCAGTTTTCGAGTATTTCCGAGTTAATGTCAGGACTCGTAACACGTATTCCCTATACCTGGCCAATAAAACGCGCATGGTTTTTTTTTATTGCATTTGACTCGTCCGCGTAATTCCGATGAAAAACTAGTATGTGGCAAAGGAAAAAATTAGGAATTTTTTAGATTTTTAGTCAGAACTTTTTACTCATAGGATTTATTAATAGACATGAAAGAAGTTCGATATTTATTACGAAATCTCTCGTACGACGGCTAGACAAAAGTGCGTTAAGGCAACATTGCGTTTGAGACTGTATTCGGTGTATATACGTATACACTACGCAATCCAATGTACATTAGTGTGCGCCTATCGATGCAGGGATGGGCGTGTGTGAGTCAACTGTACCAGTTCAAAAGTTGACGCTGGATTGTTCAAATCTTACATTGAAAATTTTATTATTTTTCGGTCCGTAGTAATACCTTAAGCCGAATCTCAGAACGTGTACTTTCATTTGCTTGGAGATGTAGATTTTTGGGTTCTGTAATCACCATTAGAGAAAGGTTACGGACTAACTATTACAGGAAGAGAAAGTAATTACAAAATTCAAACATCACGCGACTTCTGTTCCAATTCACATACTCAAGTATAATTTGAACACCTAATTCACGTATAATGTATCGTATAAGTTTTCTTTACACGTAACCTTACCTAGAAATTAGTAAAATACGTAAAATATAAAAGTTCTTCAATGTATTTACGCCAATCTTGACCGAAATTCGAATTATTGAGAATTTCATTCAAAATCACTGTGCACTTTTATGCACATTTACAATCCGTCGTTTTGGCACTATGTATTTTATTATTTAACTGTAATAATTGCAATTATTTGGAACAGTTGATCACAGTAACGGCAATTGAAGAAACTGATTCCCCAGGCGTCTGTCGGTAAGCTAGTTTGACTTTATCGTTCACTGAAGAGGTAAATAGATTGGACACTTACGAGATATGGTTACGGCATGAACTTGGATATTGCGGACACCTAAAAATAGATTTTACCAATTGAAGTACTATCTATAGATAAATATTCTACATATCATAATATTGAGGCATAGGATACACGGGCATGTCTAATTTATTTACATTCAGTCAAACATTTGGTACACGTTTTTAAAACTACAGAATTCCCAGTGGAAAAGGAAATATCACTTTGCAGTAGTTGGGCCACTAATTACAAGTTTCCAATCACTTGAATATGGTTATAAAGTACATAAAAGGCAAAATTTTGTCAGGCAAAATTAGTACTCTCACGGTTTTCAACTAACCAGAACAGTAATAAGAATTCTTATATATCGTTTTAATGCATCACATTCTCTTATGATCCTAGATATGAGGATATATCAATTACATACAGACTGTCTTACTAAAATAATTCCAATGAGTTTAGAAGTTATGTATCAAATATGCTCAAGTTTAATATAAACTAATATAAACTAAAGGCTGCCTTAGTGCCCAAGAAATGGGCATCGTAGATAGTGCATTCCATCCTGTGTTCTAATTTTTAACTGACTCCAAATTTAAATACGACTTTATAGATCTTTCAAATATGTAAATTATTACCAGACCAATTATAGATTTCGTTATTAATCTACGTAGCGGTATCGCATATATTTATAAAAAATGAATGAATATTAATAAATCTTGACAATAACATAAATAGTTTTTATCAAAAAACTACGAAAGTACATACCTTATGATATTTAAATTGTAACAATTTTGTTGTACCATTAAAAATTAGAATAAGTATCAAGGATGGGATACTTTGTATGTGTGTATACATACGATTCAGCATAACTGACAAATAATACATTGCATTGCTCAATTATATTCAGATTATTCAATTAATCTTTTAAGAACGCATGAAACTTGTGTATAAATAAGCCAGTATTTTGCATTGCGGTAAAGAATGAAGACATTAACAATACTGTAAAACGTACGTGGAACTGATACTATTAATTATTATCCGTTTCAGATTTGTATCATAGAACAACCAGAAGAAATTCACGTGGTGCCGTACTTATCTTTCAGTACTGATTTCAGTAGTAAGCACAAAGTAATAGTTACATAGCGGCAATGCAATACTAATTTCCTATTCAATAAGATAATAATCACGTATATTCGATGTTTTATAGTTATTACATCTTTCAATATGAAATTTCGACATTATCGACATGAAACTGTTACTCTGTATTTGCTGGAAAGAACATTCCGTCCAAATATTATAAAACTTGATTACCGTACTTTCATAGTTTTTAATTATCCATTTGTCGTAAAAGAACATGAGAATCTCGAAGCCAATCGACATCCATCATATAATGTCAGTTATTTATCGATAGGATTATTACTGAATGACAAAATTGTTTGATATGTAGCAATCAGAAATTGTTTAATTAGTATCCATATTTATTGTGAGTACACGCAGAGAGACTTATATTGTAAATTACCGAAATTACAAAAGGATTGTATGTGCTACACTGATCCATGACAGAGATGTAGAATTTAGATACGTTATTCGTAAAAAGTATAAAATGGAAATATGTGGAAAAATATTTTTTTTCGGAAACCGATTGTATACACAATATATAAATTAAATTAATATGCACAATATGTAAAATGAAACTTGAAAACGAATTATACAAAATATTTCTTAATGAATCACGTGCAATTTGGGAAATCGTGCATTTGAAACTCTTGTTCTATATGGTTAAGAGAAGGTTATTCATTGTTTCGAATAATTGAGAATGAGATCTTCATTATTACACAAATTGGGAGAAATTAATTTAAACAAAACAAAAAATTCGTATCTTCTCGTAACCATGTCCACGTCCATTTTCGTAATATATTGTTTTTCACTATTTTAGTTAAGGAGTAATTAATATTTTTTTAAATACTTTGATACCAAACTATAGGACCAACATGTAAAATCTATTTGGAAAAGAATACAAAAAAAATAATACTTTGACACTTTACTCCTTGAAGTCATTTAGTGGCGAAGTACAAAACTTACAACATGCTTTCATTGTTTCATCTCTATGTACCTATGTGCTGCAGATATAACAAAACTATTGTAAAAATATCAAAAAATATCAATATCAAAAAACAATGTCAAGAGATTGCAAATAAAAACATTACTCTTTTTGAAACGTGTAATCATTATTTTAGTACAATATCATTTAAGCGTTAAACTAATATCATAATAATATGTCCAATAAATTGTCAAATATTAAAAAATAATTTTCAATACTGACTAGTAAATACAAAAAGTCGATTTAACCTTTGAATAGGTTCGATGAATTAATTCATGAATGATTTAATTCATGAATTAAAAAGGAAGTGAAGGAACTAAAGGAAGGAAGTGGGTCCAAAAACGGGATGATTTCATTCAGGTATCAGTAATGACTTCAAAATGATTGGTATCATTTTTGGTACTCCGTGCAATTAAGAGCTAATGCAATATATTAATAACCAGTGCAAAATTATTCTGCACTGGGAAAGGCATGCCGAAAGTTGCTATGATTTAGTTTCATGCTGTACGCTTGCCTTTCTGCGACTCGATCTGTGTGGTTTCATATGGTACCACATGTGATACCATCTACATATAGTCATATATGATCAAATAAAATGTCATATTGTATGATGGACAGATATATTTGATATATAATTCAATATAATTCATGTATAAACTTGTTCGATCTTATCTAAAATACCTCTTTTTTTTATTACAATTTAAATTATACCATACTATTGAATTTTAGTGGTACATTACTTTTTATCTGAGGATTAAGGCAATACAATCAGTATGAGAATAGATCGAATAACTTATCTAGATGATGTAAGATTGATTATCTGAACACTTGTTCTCATGTCAGTGACGTCCCTCCTATAACAAAATGTAACAGGATTTCAAGCACCCATGGGCGTCGAGCTGTGTGAACTACTAACGAACCGTCGATTGTGTCGGAGCTTCAAGATTTTATGAGCGTTAGTATTGATATCGCAAATTCAATTAACGTACTGTATTCACCGTTCGTTACACTTATACACATGCTTCTTTAACTATTCAGCATTAACGCTCAACGGTCACGACCTTTTTAATCGAATTTACGTTGTGAGTCTTAACCAGTAGCGCGAACACTGCAAATAGCAACGCCTTAGTTATCATCCCATGGATTCAATTTCATTTGACGGGTGCAGTCGTCCTTGAGCTAGCAAACGTGTGATTTCTTAATGATCTAAGCTTGCCATATACTAGCTTTAATTTCAAAAGTTGCAATAATTCTGGTAATTTAGATCAGCATTACGGTGATCGTCGTGTAAGAGCCTATGTGTGGACAGTGAAATTTGGGAAAAAAATACTATTACATAACTAGACATAAAACGTAAACAAGTTTATCCATGCAGTGAATGGTGTATTGTGTCTTGATATAAAATGAAGAATTTATTGTGAATGATTCATACGAATTATAAGACACGTGTCATCAATATTTTCCCTTAATTGGCAGAACCATTTGTCAGACAGTCAAGCGAAAAAATATATATTTGAACAGTATATCTGAAAGTCAACAGGTTGCAAGAAAAACGAGGGAAAGTGGTCATTTTTGCAATGGAAATCGCATTCGTAGATCTTGAAGTACATATTTGCAAGTTTAAAGTCGTTGCTGTGTAAATGTTGATCGAAACAAACTATAAAATTCACATTTCTTACGATGCGATAACAACGTAGTAGAATACATACATAACCTGAAATGTGTCAGTAGAAGTGCAACAGGTGTCGTTTGGCTATAAAATTAAACGATAGATCATACAAGCAAATTTGAATCTTAATGAAATGTACATTATTATTATAAAATGAACTATTGTCAGAAATGTACAAATTGTCTTAACGTGGCATAGTAACTTTCACGGCGGAAAGCATTTAAGAAGAACAATAGTAAATTTGATTTATTAGGTTAAAAGTTGATTACCGTGTACTTACGTCTTTAGGAAAAATGGTGCAAAAACTGTAGTTGCATTCAATTCTCATTCAACATAGTTAACTCTTACAATAAATTAAAAATAGTTGGTGTTTTTATAGCATTGAATTAATGCTTTCTACAATTGATTGAAGATAAATCAAATAATTTTAATGTTCAGACGTTTTACGATCTCATAATCTGTGTTTGGACTCAGGATGTCTTACATTCAACGAGAAAATACCAATAGAGTAAATATAATAAAACAGAGGTTTGAGCAAAGCCCTGAAAAAAAGCTGGAAGACAATCTTAAATCTACACATGATGACAAGAAAGAGCAGCTGCGCAGAACTTTGAGTGCTTCACCCATTAAAACAAAAAAAAATTTTAAACTTAATGTTTCAAGACAATTGTCTAACCCCAGTAGAAATATAAAACGTACACCAGCCTTTAGGGGTGATAAGTTAGCAAGGACAAAAAATCTGAATTCTCCTACAAAAGAAAAATTGGTATCTATTGTTGATAAGAATGTTAAACTCTTTGAAGAGAAACCTGAATATGGAAAAATTGGCAATGTAAAGAAGAAAGTGAGAAATGCAGCAACCAATAAATACGAATCTGTTGATGCTAGCATTGATACTGTTGATTGTAATGAAACTCAGGAGATTAGTGATATAAAATGGACATCCGATATTAGGCAGGAAACTTTTTCTGAACATAAACAAATACCTAAGGATATTAACAATTTAAATGAGATGTGGTCTGAAGATGATATGAATAAAAAAATGCTTCAAATATTTTCCAAAAAGTCAACACCATGTAAAGACTCTGTTCGTACAACTGTTATATCAAGACATACAAATATTTCTCCAAATTATTGTACTCAATATGAATTGGATAACGTCTGTAGGAAATCTGAAATGTGTGAATCTCGTACAAAGCAAAATTCTATCGATGATAAAAAGCAAAACTATTTACAACCTAATAAGTTCTTAAAGAATGGAGTGGAATATACAAGGGTCATAAAACCCAAAATAAAATCCGTATTAGCGGATACAACAAGCAACCATAGTTATTCACAAACTCATTGTAGAAATGAAAATAATATTTTAGATATCAGAGAAGACTTGTCCAGACGAAAATTTGATAAATTGGGTGCACTGAATAATGAATCTTCAAAGAAGATTAAATTATGTAGAGTGGAATCAAGTGAAATCAATACACCTGAAAATGTAATGCAAAACATGTTACAAATCAAACAGACGCACGAAAGTTTGAATATCGAGACACATTCAGTTAAAGAAACAGAAAAAGAGCCATTATCAATTACTAATTCAGAAGAAAGGTTTGGTGTGAAATTGACAGATACTTTGAAGGCGGCATTAAAAGCACCGTTACCTAAAGGTCCTCCACCAAAGAAACCGCCGCGAACTTTTGCTCACAGTCCGACTGATCTTGATCATTCTCTGTTTCATAATCACAATGAAACTAATAAGCCACAAGAAAAATTAGAAAATCACACGATAGTCTCTTCATTTGGAAATACTTCTACTGAATTATCCAGTGATACCAAACACGTTATTAATAGCTTTCTACATAGCATAAAAATCAATAACGGTGATGAATCTATAACAGATTCGTCTTTGAAAGATGCTGATTGGTATACAACTAGTTTTTTACACGGTAAAAGAAACTCCTCCCAGCAATTGCAAAAGCAGTTGGCAACTGAAAACAAGAATATTGACAATGAGAACCTTGTGCCCTTTATCACAGACATATCTAAAACAAGTCCGACGTGCATAAATAAATCTAAATTTGACGATATGATTCTGGAAACTCATTTATTAGAAAACAGAACTTTAGTTGTGGAAAGACGAAAATTAAATGATGACCAACAACCAAAAGCTGATAAAAGTTCAGAAGTAAGAAGTAACGATCCAAGTTCCTCACCAGCTACAATTTGTAATGATACAATGTCTTTGGACCAAAACAAAATTATTTCTCAGTCGTCAAGAAAGTTTCAAAGTTCCACACCAATGTCTGAAAACAGCACCAAATTACGAGCAAGTCGCGATTCGAAGAAAATGTTAGAAAAACTAGAAAGTGTTTTAATTCAACATCAAAAAGCTCTTGGACCAAAGGTCATTGTACCACGAAAAGAAAAATTAACTGACGTTAGATCCAAGTTGCAAACTGATTTCGAATGCGATATTGAAAGCGATATATTTTGCGGTAAAAATGATTCAGAAAAAAGAATATTTACATCTGATCGAGAAGTACAAAATACAAGAGTGTTGGGCTCATTACCTAAAATTCCAGATTCTCCATGTAGGAGGAATTTCACTTTTGATTGTTTGCCTTCATTAAATTGTGCTAGTTCAACCGTGTATGAGCAGATAAAAAATCCTGATTTTAAAACGTACTTGGCAGACGGAAAATCAACTTCCTTGGAAAGGTCTGGCAACTTTTATGCGAAACCTGGAGGTTTACAAAAAAATTCGACTTTTTATTTGCACTCTAGTAACGACGAAATTTATGACACGTTGTTGGCAAGTCCTGCTTCAAAGAGATTATCTACTGAATTAACAACATTCACTGATGTCACTAAACACCAGCCCACGACATTTAAACATGAGGAACATGTGTACGCTGAACCGTTTACGTTCGATAACAACTCTGGTATCGATATTACAGGATATGGAAAATTATTGCACAAAAATCACGATTTCTTATTAAGAAACGAACAGGCAGGGGCATTAAGGACGAACAACACAAAGGAAACTGAATTACATTACATGGTAAGGGAAAAAATAGTATATTTTTCCTTTTCAACAGCGTTCATTATATATTATATATTATTTTATCGTACATGGAGCTATATGCCAGACACACCATATATGTATAATAAAAATATATACGTATATTATGAAACTGGAATGGTGCATGTAATATAAATTATATTATGGTATGCTTATACAATATAATTTTGTATATTTACTACATAAACAAAACATAAGTTGTTACATATACGTAAACTCGCGTATTTGATATTTATACGAAATGGTTTTAATTTGTGTTATTTCTTTTATCATGCAATTTTTGAATTTCTTTATTTTAAAACAACATTATACGCGACAAGAAAATTAAAAATCACATAATAACAATGGTTATTACGAATATCTTAAACAAGCAATCACTAGAATCCAAACAGATTAATAAATTATGTCCTTCAATTGTGAGTGGAAAATCAATTATAACATTAGAAAATATGAAAAGTGTATCTTGTTTAATCAAAAAAATTTAATTTTCTATTGAAAAATTATTTTAATCAGGTAAAATGAAGATTTTTATTTTTATCCATCTATAGTATCACTATGGTGTATTAAATATGAGCCGACAGTGCTGAGACCATTGTTGTGTCTCTTGGTCGAATGCATTCAATAAGGAAAGACAACGATGCTCTCAGCGAGCTCTTAAAACCGCAAGAGCGAATAGGTCCTATGTTTCTTCTAAGATGGACATAATTTTCTAACATATACAACAAATTTAAAATTTGAAATATTATAAAAAATCAGATGGAACTATCCATCAGAAATGAAGTATATAATATTTTCGAGGTTATCTTTTTTTACTCTATCGTTAAAACATCTGCAATATTATTGTATACTTTGTATATTATAGTTCACTCTCAAAACTTAGCTTACCGTTATTATTCTAGATAGAGTACTCTAACTGCATACGCCATAAATATATGTATAATAAAACCACCAATTAGCCTAATGTGAGAAATCTTTGGATTATTCATCGTCGCTCATAAAGTTCAAACTACAGTATACATGCTCAAATTATTGTTCTTTCACTGTAATCAATTTTAATGAAAGACATGCTATTTTTAGTTCACAAACCACTTTAGTTCATTACTTTTTAGAAAGTTATCATCCTAATTCATAATTGTAATTCAACAACCTATGATTTTCTTATCATCGAAGGGAAACAAAATTGACTAAGTCGTCCAATAATAGTTTGAATGATAACAAAATTTCTGATTTTTCCGGACCATGAAAATCGAAGGTGAATTTTAAGAGCAAAGTGTGGGATTGAAGTATGGGCAGAAACCTGCGTGTATTCCACGTATACTATTTTTAGCAAAGAGCAGACTGTAGAAGGCCAACTTTACTTTGCCTTATTGATCCATGGGAAGCTATTCCACTGGAAAGCAGTTCGATGTTAGCTCTTAGAGTAAAACATGCTTAAAGACCATCTTCTCAAAACGTGACATTTTTAAAATCAGTGACATTCTATGATGAACAGTTTTTCGACTCTAACAATGGCGCTGGTGTCTCTTACATTTTGTATAGCGTCATACATTTGTTTGTAACGCATTTGCATGCGCCTAGTTGCAGAAAAACGATATCTCTTCCAGTGTAAAATATCGTGTATATATACACACATTTATTGTGATTTCTGTTTGTTTTGCTGTAAAAAATGCAAGGTTTTGATATGATCGCGATCAATATTTATTAGTGGACAAAAAGAAGGATATCAATGCGATTGAGAATTATGCAGAAGAATTACAAATCTATGCTGTTACTATTTAATTTGTGAATGTTATCTGTGCTGACAACTAAGAGTCTGTTTGATATGATAGCGGTATTTAAAAAGATTTCAATGTTTCTTTCACGAAATCAGACAGACATACATACTTCGCTTTTATTTTTATATAAAACTTAATTTCTTAAAATTTGAATTCATCGTGAATTTTATGATAAATTAGAACTTCTTGGAATTTACATCAAATTATCTACTATTAGAAAATTAATACTCGAGAATGTTTTAACTGCATTGTATACAGTTTTTTTACAGTATATTTTCTTTAATGAGATAGAGCAGGGAATATATGCACTCATATTTTCCTACATGAGAGAATGTAAAATATGAAAACAAAATATATCTATATTTTTTTTTGACTAATGCTATTTAAAAATCTATGAAAAATTAAAATGGTGCTATAAAAAAAACATAAGAAACTTTCTTAAAGATTTCAAATTAAAGTGAAGTGCGTACATAAAGCGATTTGCGATGTTCAGTAATTTTTATCAAAGTCGTAGTTCTGATAATTGTGACTGGGAAATACAGCTCATTCTGCTCTTAAGCTAACAATAAGTCACGGACACGCAGAATTGGCCTGAGAAAAATTCATGGAATTCGAAAGTTTTTTTCAATTTACGTAAGTTTGTGCTTATGCAAAAATACAGATGCTCCAGTCCTTTGGTTTCTTTAAATTCAATATTCTCTGGTTGGCTATACAGGTTTTATTTCAGTCCATGTTAATTTGGCCATAGGTATGAAGGATTGGATTGCGAGGAAAGCTATGGCATTAGAGAGTATTTTTTTTGTATAATTATATAAACGCAAACGTGCATACAATTGAGAATACATTAGCAATCAATTCAATTTCATATATCTATGACTATTTTATAATTTTCTGTGAATCTCGCTTGATTTTAGTGATAAAGAAGTTTTAAAAGGAATAGCTAAGAAATAAATAACTTTTCGATATCCAATTTTTTGACGTATGCAACGATTCGACACATTGGTTACGATTTTTTTCAATGATTGCTTTTAAATATTCCTTCTCTATGAATGTGGTAGTTGAAGATTGCGATAAATGTAATGTACATTGTAAAGTTCGAGTGTTTTACAATGTTCATGACTGAAAAGATTTATTATCGGCGGTATAAGCACCTAAATATATAACAATGAAGTCACGGGTGATCATATTGCGAAAGATGAATTAGTAAAAGTAATTGTCAATTAAAATGATTGTTGCATTTTTCGCAGTATACCCCAATTCAATCGTTGCTTCTGGCGCGCAAGAATAGTGAGATAGAAAATGAAATTGGCAGTTCGAAATATCAACCAAAAATGACTGATACTAAAACGTCACTCCCAAGATTTATCGACCTGATGGAACCGCCTCCAACGAAATTTGATAAGGCCAAGGTGATTTTTTAATGTTCACGCTTTTACTCAATCTGAGGGATCGACTTACGTAGATAAAAACTTTTTTTCTTCTATAGAGTCTATTGATGATTCGCACGATGGTTCTGGTGTTTGGATATTAAATAAAGCTCTTTACATTGTCTCTTTATGAGATCGATGCATTAACGGTGAAAGCATTTCGCTTTTTTCTTCTTTTTTTGATTCCTCAGAGAAAACTACATTCTTTTCTTATTTTATTATCAATTTCGTATAAAAAATTGTTGTTACTGACTTTTTGCACTAGTATATTGTTCCTGTTGTCTATTCTTTTTAAAGTGTCCTTATGCCTTTTGGTCTTTCTTTTTCTGCAGCTTCTTTGTCATGAGTAGCAATAGTTTATTTCTTCAGAATATGAATAATATAATTCTTTTTATTTAACAAAATTATAAATGTACTTTGATTAGTTAATTAAATTTTTGAAGAAATTTTAAGAGTTTCATCTTTAAGCTTAATGAAACTTAAATAAATTTTAGTTCAAGTTATACATTGCGTTTATTCCAGTCCAATCATTTTTAGCGGGTGACTAATTTCTATCGTCAATTCTGTACGTACTTATATCATTATTACTGCGACTGTAAATAGTGCATAATGAAGATATAAAGATAAAATGAACAATGGCAAGATATAAATAATGTTTCGTTTTTATGTCTTAACCCGTCAGCAGTCGCGTCACCTTTCGTAATACTAGACTCGCATGGGGATTGTAAAAACCTGCTTTTGTTAATGCAATATATTGATGATCAATGCAAAAATATTATTTTGCATTGGGAAATCTTGTTGTTTATATATATGTCCTGGAGATTTAATTTGTTTGTTAAATAATAAATAACTACCGAAAAATAATCATGCTAATAGCGTGAAAAATGAAACATCTGGGGTTTTTTTAGGTATTCACGCGAGTGTTAAAGTTGCAGTAATGTTGAGTAGCCAAGGGTCAATTATATCTAGCAAGATTAATTTGTCCTTATCTCTTGGAAATTTTCTCTGGGTTAAATGTAAAATATTTGTTTTATTTATCACGTAGTAGGTATTTTGTTGCAAATGTGTACTAAGCATAGATAAAATATTCAGTGCAAAACGAAACGTTTTCGGTTTCATTAGAATTGTATTAATTTGTATCGATAGTCAGTAATATAGTCAATTAATCAAATGTTATAAGTATAAAACTTAAAATAAATAATAAATAATCCGAGAAACGTAGTGAGAATTTACATTAGAAATAGGTAACATAACAGGACATTGTTAACTATTAAATATCAAGTTCAAATACTATTGATAAAAAATGCTACGTTTATAATAAATATCTGCGGCAACGGCAATAAGCTAATACAAAATTTACAATTTATTACATCTAAAACGATATTCCATTAAATCGGTCTATATTTTTTCGAAAAAAAGGTACAATAAACAGGAAACTGTCCGTGATACCGTAACGTGTGACTCACATGGCTTCTCAGGAAAGTCCCACGTATTGGTTCAGTATTTCTTTTTGTAAGATACTCATCGCACGAACTTCCTCCTGGATCTCTCGTGTGCTATAACTCCTTTGGAAATGTACAAATATGCTACTCGTATGTGGTGACTGTGTTGTACGACAATGTAGAAATTTATTCAGTTTCCGTGTCCGATGACTGACGTTCAATCTATTGCTACGGTAGAGATATTATGTGACGTCACAGTAATTATTTAAGGTTTTGTAGCAAAGTTTGACTCAGTGGAATATCGGTATGCATAAATTCAAATTTAATGCACAACTATAGTTACAGAGAAATATGTCAAACATCAGATTCTAGAACGTGATGACAGCAAATACATAGAATAATACATATAATGAAGTTTATTATCGTTTCCTGAAATTATGTAAATACTTGATTTTGTATTTATATTGTTCTCATTAATATTTTGCCATGTATTAAGTTTTACTACATTTTATGTTGTTTGCCAATCGAGTTATGGTGTAGTGCATGTAAGGTACAATTTTATTAGTTATAGATGTATCATTTGTATAAATTACTTTAGAGTGTTAGAGGTTTAAAACATAAAAAACTATACGTTTATTAGAATGCCACATGTATAATAATGAAATGTGGTTTATCTTAGTAAGCTTATCTGTAGTAAGGTGTATTAAAATAGTCCTCTTCTTTTTAATTCTTCATTCATACTCGATTAACAGAACATCTTAGGAAGATTTTATTAATGTCTATTCTTTATTGCTTCGCACAATTTCTTATTCACTAATTCTTTTGTTATTTGTCCTTCATTTATGTTCACTAGCAAAGTATATTATATCTTCGAAATAATTATTTGGTTTTGCTTCTTCAGATAGAACAACTCCTTGATCAAGCTTTTGGAGAGCCTGTAATGGCTGGTGCGGAAACTCCAACAGACTCAAATACATCATCGGATACAGATTCTGTTGCATCAACTCTCTCACTGACAGATGAGCTTTTAACGTTCAATGAAAAGCTAAAATTATTTAAGGAACGAGAAAATATTCCACGATCTGCAAAGGATGACCTTCACCGTAGCTTGACAGAAAAGAGGAAGCACTATGTACGAAATGTATCCTCCAAGTATTCGGAGAAAAGAGAAGGTTCAGTTACTGATAGACGAGACAAACTCTTCGAAGTGTGCTTACTTGTTGAATTAAACCTCAGTACCAGAAAGCCTTACATCAAAGATAAATATCCCATTTATGTAAGTGCTATGTAATAATTTAATTGATAACATTAATACATAATCAAAATCATACTTTTTACAATATTATATATATTTTTCGTAGGTAAATACACCAGCATGGATAGAGAACTTTTGTTTCCCAGATGCCTCTGATTGGCCTCCATCAGACTCAGATCAAAATCAAGCCTACTCATTAGTTCTTACCGATGAAAAAGGTAATCGGCGCTATGGATATTGCTACCGTGTCAAGCCGGAAGGTGGTCCAATATTACCACTAGCATATTGTCTCATCACAAATACAAGAGCAAGTGGCTTCTATTACAAAATATTACACGAATTGGATATAAGACATGGATTCCCAGATAGACAAAGACGGAGTTTCATAGAGGAGCTCTATAACAGTCCCATGCCTTTACCTGGACATGGAATCACAATAAAATGGGATGAAGCTGAAGTACTTGTTGTACCTTCTTTAAGAGAAAATGGGCTAAGTAACAATAACAATGATGTTGAAACAAAGTTTACAAATTCCAATGGAGAGAGTTACAATACTGCACCACCAGCTGTTGACATAAGCTCAGTTTTGTTGAGGGCAGAAAGATCAGAAATCGATAAAATTATAGATGCATTCACTGATTTAGATGTGAAGGAAACATTCATAACACGACCAGGTGACCACAGATTAGAGGAAAGAGACATGAGTCAGTTGTTTGATGCTCTCTCTGTCAAGGTATTAATCGTTCTATTTGGGAGCTTGTTACTAGAGCGTAAAGTCGTTCTAACATGCAACAAATTAAGGTTAGTTTTTGCAAGAATTCTATACTTAAATTTAAGAAAAATGAATATCCTTGAATTTTTCAGCAAATTGTCATCTTGTGTAGAAGCATTACAGAGTTTACTATACCCTTTCACTTGGCCACACACCTTTATACCCGTTCTTCCTGATATTCCTGGACTTCCAGAAATTTTGCAAGCACCACTGCCATTTGTCATTGGTATTTTGAAATCGAAAAATGGTGATGGAATTGAGATTACTACTTTCGAAAATGTAAGTAACCGATTTGCAAGATAAAGAATCATCAAAATTAAAATGTTTATATTTCTATTGCCTTTTTTACTTGTATTTATGTTGGTCTTATTACGTTTTCACAGGGCATTGTAGTCGATCTAGACACCTCTAAAATAACGTTTGCTGTTGGGGACGAATCATCGATATTACCAAGTAGATTTCAAAAAGGCTTAAGATCAGCTCTTCACGTGGTGTCCAGCACAACAAAGACGGGTGAAGGAATTAAGAACTTTCTTGTGTCTGAAGCATTTTTAAGGGTGTTTGTGGAATCGTGTTCGCACTTCGGTTCTCATATAGTTGCACAAGAGAATGGAAAACTAGTATTCATGGTATGTTTATTAACGTATTTAAAACAAAAAATAAATATATTTGTATGAAGCAAAGATACAACATGTACTTCGGTAGTACAACTCTGTATACACGGTTATTCAGGACAGTTGCACCAACTCAAGTTATCATATCAACTTGATTTCTATAGTAGATAATGCAATACTTCCGAACAGCTCGCACAGCGCAGGTAGCTTTTGAAACATTTTTAATCTCGATTGCAATATTGTTGATTCACATTAAGTTAACGAAAGTTAACGAACTATTACGCGCTTAGAATTATTAAATTCTAATGATGTGTTACAAATTTGTTGTAGAAAGAATCTTTCGTAAATGCCGTTTCATCGAAATGTTTTAAATATTTTCTTGAATGGTTTGTGGAGACCACGATGTTCAATCAGTTCGTCCAAGACAATATTTCGAGAATGGAAGGAATATTGCCAAAAGAGAAGGATGACATGAAATTATTTCATCAAAGAGTGGCTGAATATCTTAAAGCGGCTGACAAGAATGCACAAACCAAAAAGAGTCATACAAAAAAAAAGACTTTAGGTAAGTTCTTTTGTAATATTTATTTAATAAAAAATATATTTTTTTATGTAATTTTAGAAGATAATAAAAATAATACATTATATATTTCTATATTTTATCATTTGTAGGAGATCGTTTGAAAGACTTAACTAATTTCAGCTCATAGTATGCATACTGAGTGAACATTTCCAAAAATATCTACCCAACGAAAGCGGTTATTCTGTATAGTAATACTGTTAATATATTAAGGTCCAAGATCGTATGATATAATCTCATAGGGAGGCAAATTGCAGCTTTAATTAGAGATATACGCGTTTATATTTTATTTCTGTACGAACTCCGGTTATATTATCAAGTCAGTGATTAGTATCTTACTTAAATAGTATCATTTTAAAAAATGTGAACAATGATATTTTATATAGATGCATGCTACTGTACTTATTTTCAGAGTCCTAATATTTTTGTGAGCAAATAATAGCATGCCGTATTTAGATTAAATGATTAATAGATGAAAAGTTGAAACTGACACGTGGCATTATAACAAATAAAAAGTGAGAATAATGCACTTACAAGTCAAGTATATTATATATTACAATGAACAGTACTATAGTGTATACAATACTTTGTATTAAAATTTTGCAAACTGACTATCAACGAATAACAACTTTCATTCGTTGCATGATATTTTTTGTTGAAACATTAAGGAGATACATTTTAGTTGGTGTCATCTTTTATTGCCATTTCTTATTTTAACTGTGATTATTTATTTGTACGCATTCATATCGTTCTATTCTCGAAATAGTTTGTACTATATGTTTATACCCGTGTTTGAAAATAAAATATTAATAGGAACAGGATCTCGTTACATATATGTAGTAATTATCTCTGCATGTAATGCAAAAAACATCCTAATTCTGATAAAACCAGTTGGGATGTGATTAACATGGTGACAACGTGCTCATGTGTTCTATAATTCCATATAGAATTTTTTCACAAGCTGCTATGCTGACCGGTATTTATTTTTAGCACAAGCATTTATTTTTAACTTTTTTAATTGAAAGCACTCCTTTTATGTGATCGCAGGCGTCAACTTTTGTTTGTAGTGTAGATATACGATTTAATTTTCTCACTTTGTGATCTTAAAATTCAGTCAAAATGAACTCTAAAGCAGTTAATTCTAAGTTTACTTTGAAAACATCCAGAGAAAAATTGGCTCAAACATGATCAGCTGCAAACTTCATCTGTATGGCATAAAATTCTGGGTCGATATTTATTATTTTTTTACTACAAATGAAAAAATTGTTTTATAATTGTTGTAATGATCTGATAAATTCACTTTTATTGTGATTATCTCAAGAAAGAACGGACATACTTCTAGCGTAGCAGTGCTAGTTCATTAGTAGCATCTACTTTTAATATTATAATCTATCAGGTGTAACAATTATAATGACATTTATATGGAATGAAAACTTAACAGTAAAGTTGTTAGCGCTTTACGGACGCTATGAACTCCTAAGATGTCCATTTCATCCGAAATTTAGAGATCATTTCTACAGATACAAATCCTACAAGCAGATAGTGGAATCCATGAAAGTTCCTGATTTAACTGTGTGCGAGTGTGTTAAAAGAATTGCTTTTTTGCGCCGCCAATATTGTCACGAACTTTCAAAAATCAATATCAGTATATACAATGGGGAATTTTACAAGCCAAAAATCAGTTGGTTTGAAATGCTGCACGAGTTATTCTTTCCCTTGACTCAATATTGTGATTGTTTGGAGGATCCTGATCAGGTAAAGAAACGTCAGTTTTCATTATGCTAAGAAATGAAGCCTTTAACAATAATATTACATTTTTTATGGTATCATCCTTGCACATATTTACTTGTACAGACTCTGACCTATCTTACTGATGACGATGAAGATGAAGATGAAGATGAAGATGAAGATGATGACGATCCATGGATACAAAATTACGATGTTGATGAAAATAATGATTCTGCAATCGATTGCGGTTGCCTATCATTACGAAGCTGTGATACAAATGTGGATCACTTTATTAAATATGATATGGACCCTATCTTACTTTGTAATCCATATAAGAGTCATCAGCGTCAGAATGCACACCAGATGAAGCCACGGAAATATTCAAAAGTGTCTAATGAACGTCTACATTTGGAACGTGGTCTGCAAACTGATATTAAACGAAAGAAAGTATCAACAAAGACATCAACATCTGGGCATAAGAAAATGTCTACACAGGCTGAAGCAAAAGTACTTGCTCATGATAAAAGTACAGAATATACAAAATGCAAGAACCATTCAAAATGGTCTCAAACTAGAGTGAAACACGCGAATAATGGGAATGACGTTTGTGAGTATTCCGTAACTGAACACGAAGCACAGACTGATAATAAGACCGTCGAAAATTTCGTTAATGACGTAGACGTTCCTAACAGGAAGCAGGATGCTAAGGTTTTTTTTTTTATATATAAAAAAAAGTTGGGTTGTTATACTCTAGTTAATTATTGGTATACGTATAAGATTTCTATTATAGTGTTACGTGGGAACTACAAGAGATGATGCTCATTCTTGCGTAAACAATAGAAATAAAATATATGATAAATATGAATTATTTGGAAAAAGTGTTGCTAATCAACTTAAAAATTTAGATTTTGGTAAGCTTGCTATCATGTTATTATTCTCATAGAACATCCAATAAACTGAATAATAAACGTACATGTGAATGCTAATTACAGAGTCTGCAATGAATTTGGAAAAGCGGATAAAGAAGATGATGTCAGCAGAGAAATTGTTTGAAGCCGAGCAAGATTTTAAGGATACGTATTGCAAACATGTTTGCAATTGCGATTGCAGTCATAGCTGCATCAAATGTATAAAATACAAAGAGAAGAAAATGTGTAGTTGCGGTTTACCAACTAATGAATGCTTACCACCAATTTTAGGAGCAGCCAGTAATTCATATACATTTTGCTGCAATTAAGAGAAAGTTACATAATATATGAAATCGTATACGTATTCAATGCATTGAACGTAAAACATTAAATCAGTCGCTTGAAAAATAGATGGCCTGCTTCTACGTATCTAAATGGTATTTTTTATCGTAAAAGAATATAAAATTATATATCTATGAATGTATCAAGTATTTGAAAATATTATAATGAGGAATTTCATTAAATTAATAATTATTTTCATAAAAATATCATATTCAATTAAATATGCACCTTGTACGCAGTTAAAATCCTCTATCGTATGTAATATATATTAATTTATTATCATATATTATTAATATACATTAAATTTATCTCTGGGATAAATATAAAAAAAAGGTTATACAAATCCTGAATATTTTTCGAGATGGTCCAACGTTGAATTTGCGGCAATCCGAATGTAGATACTATTCATTTTCCGATCGAGTAGTTGATTTGTTAGAAGTAAATGCCAATATTCATGTTATCGCCATTGGACTAAAGCTGTATAATTGACAAGCATAATCTTGCATTTATACTCAGGTCATGTAATTCATAGATGAACATTGTTCGTTTTTATTAAAATTTCAATTAGTGAGCTTAGGAACTTATTGGCGAAAGTAATGCTAAGTTTTGAAATGCTATATTTATGACATCCCACATCTTCATTCAAATAGTCTATGGTTTGCTGTCATTATTTTCGCGCACTGTCTACGATCAAAATTATTATCAAATTCGAAATTTTGTGTACATAACTTTTGAGAATACATATTAGAAGATATGCAGTTTAAATGGAACAATAAAAATACCACACATTTTTTACGTTTATACCGAAAATATCGATGCCTTTGGAATCAATATGACGCGGAATACCTAAATTGCAATGTTAAACATAAAGCTTTCACTGACATCATTGAAGAATTAAATATGCCAGGATTGTCCATAGCAGACTGTATTCGTCAACTTAAACTCATAGGCGAGAAGTACGTTGAAAACATATCTAAAATTGTCACACAAAACTTTACAATTACTAAGAACTTTCAAGCAATCTGATGTAACTCATTATGTAAGTGTCAACCGTGTTTGAATCAGCAAGAACAGAATTCCAACGGCTTTTCTCTTTATTATATCCACCTTACATATAAAAAGTATGTATCTTTATTTACGATGCTGGATTAACGACACGTTCTTAGATGCCTGATTATTCATTAAAATATTTCCTAATGTAGAAAGATTTGTTGTAGTTTTTTATGCAATCTTTCATTAGGAACTCTTATGAAATTTAGATGGAAACGCGAACATCTTCATAGTATTCAATGCTCGAGAAAAGGAATAATACATAAATCGGAAATCCCCTGGTATCCACTGGTTACGGAAATGTGGGAGGAAGCAATTCATGAAGAAGAAAAATCCAGGAGTTCATTAATTGCAGAGAAAGGTCCATCGTGTAAACAACACAAGGACTACTTTAAAGCCATAGCACGTTCGGACACAGCAGTTGCACAGAAACGAAAGAAAAAGGGTGACCGACAAACAAGATTCAAACATCGCACGGGTCCAGATATTAATTCACAAATGCAATTCGTTCCGTGCACAAATGCTGTACTTCATGACAAGCAAAGTTACAATGAGAGGAAAAAGTTACAAAAGAAATCGGAATCCTCACCCGTTATGTCCGATATTACCCCATGTTCGTAAAATGAATTCTTTTTCGTTTATAAGTGACGTTTTTTACACATATCATTCAAAAAAGTAATCACCAAAGTTTTTTTTTAAAATTATTAGGTTTCTTTAAATGAGCATATTTGATTCGCTTCTATTTTTAAAATCAGTTACTAATTATTATTATTTACTTTTATTTTTTGAGCCTTATCTTTATACTATTATCATTGTAAAACACAGTGCATTTGCATTATAATTAAATAAGTCCAATGAAGCTTCAATATATATAAAAAATAAAAGTAAGAAATACGATATATGCATATAATCTACTAGAATTTGATCTTTCAGTTGGTATCGATATGCATGGTATTACATAAATTATTTATAGGTGATAGCATTTCAGTTGCGTGCACAAAGGAAAGAGCCATGCCTAAAAACAGCAACGATAACAATATTATTACTAAAGAATATAATATTCGAAATACAAACGACAGAGTAAAGAGTCCAATTCAATATTCTGTGTGTCCTCCTTGTCCTTGGAAAAAATTGGATCGTGAATTACCAAATGGTTATACAGTTCCTTGTCCAAGTTATTCCCAACCGCATTATGACAATGTGAACAAACTTTTATATAATCCAAACCAAAATGATATTTCCAATGATTTAAATGAAGCAATTATTCCATGCACGAATGTCTCCCAAGAAGTAGAAAGGTATGGTGAAAAATATAATTTACATAATAATACATAATCCCACATACTGAATAAATAAGTTATAAGCTGAGCAAGACATTATATTTATTGTTTAACAGGATAGACGATCTTATCGATCCATATTATTCTCCAGTGTATACTCATTGTAATGGCAACTGCTGTAACGAATTAGATACACCACATGCCAGAGAAATGGAAATTATTATTCCAAAAAATAATTGCAACGAAAAACCCGCGATTGCCAAATGTGTCAAATTGCCAGCTACTGACATTATTGAAGATAAAGATAATGAATGTGAATGGTACTTGCAATGTACGATAGTCATGCCAGAAATAAATCCTACTCAAGATCTTAATGGCAAAAGAATAAATAATTGTACGTGCGAAGTTCAAGCGGTGAATGACGTCAAGCAGCAAGGAACTTCGCCAAATAATACGTCAGCCTGTATAAAAGAAATGCAGACAGTGAATGACGTTAAGCAACAAGGGGTTTTAACGAATAATGCGATACTATGTACAAAAGAAGTTCAGTGTTGTCAGAACAATGATATGCAAAATGAATTATTCAAACAAAAAGGTATATTACGAAATGTATAGACAAGGCAGTATAATGTGATTCTATGTACTTATTGGTCAATAAATTTTCTTCAGAAATATCAGCGAATGAGGATGAACTGGAATATTTATCGAAATCAGTGGAATGTTTTCTTCTATCTCATGAAAAAGAGGGTAAACGTGAGTTACTTGGATATATTTGTATTTTTAGCATATGAAGGAATTTGAAGTTGGTATTGAATTTATGAGTAATGTAGAAACAAAACTCGTGATTAATTCTTTTATCAGTTCAATACTAATTAATGTTTTAATCAATGAGTTACAGTAGATCAAATGGACACAATCAACACAGACAGAGATAAATTAAAAGTTTCCGAAATTACTCAAGAAAGTTCAACAAGACTGAAGAATCTACCCCAATTAAATGAAAGTACATTGAAGTTCGATAATCAAGCTCAACAAACTGATATTCAAAATGTGTCAAAATTAGAAGGTTCTATGATCTGATAATACGTTTAATTTTTCATGTAATTGAATCTTATAAACGTTATAATAATATATGAAACAGGATATTCAGCCGAAAAATCTAATAAGTACAACGATCTCGTACAAGAGGGAACCTCTGTTTTTGATATGGATCAAAACATCAAGCAAGAGTTATTATTTACTATTGAAGAAGAAGGTATTTGCGAGGCGTGTAAACCAGCGAGGGAGAGAAAATTTGACTTGGATTCCTGGTTTCGCAGAAGATCTGCTTCGGAATTATTTAATGATGACTGTTTACCGTGCAGATTAGAGAGCGAACTTAATTTTCAATTAAGTCGACTTACGAAAACTTTTATCGACGTTATGGGTTGTACACTTCGACTGGCTGTTAAAGAAGAATTTGATAAAAAAGGTTTGTTTTACCAGACTCATCATTCACAAACTATGCAATATAGGCATTGTGAAACAAAAAAAATTTGATAAAAGACATTTAGAATTATTGATCTACATATTAGAACGAATATGTTATATTTATTAAAATGTTGCACAATAACAATGAAAAAAAGAAAGAAGCTATGATTTATTAATCCTTTCAATCATTTAATTCATATAACCGTATTTCGATTATTTATATTATAATTAAACACTATAAATTAAAATGTTGATAGGTAATGAATATATTAACAACCTATATTTATAAGAAATCTTTTTTTATACTTTTATATGCAATTATTTATATGCTGTATAATTTCAGTTAGTTGCGAGTGTTCATCAGAACGACGCACTGTGACTACACTAACAAATCTACAATATACTGATCAAGAAGTTAACGCGGTTGACAATCACCTACGACCAGCAGATAAAACAGAATCAGAAATTCAAGCAGTACCAGAACATCAAAATAAAGCAATTTCGGTAACTCCTACAAGAAAAGAAGTCAAGACAAGTAGTATTTCTGCATTGCCATCGTCTCGCCATGTTGGTATTCAAGAAAGTGCGAAAATCAAGCTTCGCAACGTAAACACTCAGAAAACAGGAAATATGGAAAAAGTTGCGATGAGTGAACCAATTAACATTAAAAGCCATAAGAAAAAGATTTCGATTCAGAAACGTGATTTAAATTTAAAAGATGCTGGTCACGTGGAGAAAGACGAGCAGCGTGTATTAAAATCATCGGAAAATATTCCGAGGGTCAATTGTGAAACGAATGCAAATACTGAGAGGAAATCGCAACCTCTGAGCAACAATATATATAAAAATAATTGGAAAGCGTCAGAGATATCCATAAGAGAGAAATCACGAATTTTTAAGGAGTGTTGTAACGAAGAATTATGGGAAGATTTTACTTGCGATGAAAATTGTAAAGATAACAAACAGAATGGGGATGATTGTACTAAATTATCAAGTATCATTTGTGACGATTATCCTCATACTTCTATGTGCGACGCATCATTATGTACTATTTTGAAAAATGTTTTCACACCCATGTAAGCAAATTAAGGTTGACAGTTATTCATTGGCCGTGATAAATTATATTTGAAAAAACATGATACATGAATTTTTTTTAAGCAGACGAATTTTATTTTCTAAAAATAGAAGAATGTAATGAGCAATATACTAAAAATTTAAACGACTAATAGTGCTTTATTTAGTTTCAAAAAAAGCAAATATTTCGAACGAAAAATCAATGTAAATAGTAATTAACGGATTCGTGTCATTATAACTTTTTATGCATCAACAAAGGAAAATAAAATTAAATTCTTGTTCATGTAAGCAGTGGGTTGTTAACCCTTTGATAACAGACAGTGTGCTGCAAGTGACGAGCGCCGACAGTTTCCGACACCGAGCTGCGTATTCGTATAGTCAACAGCTTATATGGCTTTTGGCAAATTAACGGCCACTCCTTCAGGGCGTACATGTACGCCTTACGCAATCAAAATATAAATGTATTTGCATTCTTTACGGAGCGCATCTGTTTTCATGTATAATACAAAGTTTGCATTATCTACTGTAATGTGAAATAAAATTGGTAATGTCTAAACTCTTTATCGAAGAACAATTCTGTGCGAATCTATGTTGTTTGTTCAAACGATTTTATTTTTGTCATGGCATACGCATTCTTTATAAAACATACAATGCCCATGCAATTTTTTCGGACGATTCATATTTACGAAAATATTATCATTCAAATCCGCATGCATTTCATTTTTTCTGTGAGGTCTAGGTAAATCATCATTGCTACATGATACATAATCATCAATCGGTTTGTCCGTTAATTTTTCTCCAATACAGTTGTCTCTCATTAAAATCCTATATATTCTTTCCCAATCTTCGTATTGACAATATTCATCGAATTCCGATAAACGATCTTCTTCTACAGGCATTTTTTTACGTTGAGTAACATTAGCTTGTGATTTATTTCGTAGACATTCTTGGCAACTGTCATTTGATTCATCTGTGACTATATTCTCTCCAGTACTTTCTGATATGCAATCAAATACTCGGCTGTTACTGGATATTAAACTTAAATAGCAATCACACGGATCATTAAATCTGCAAATAATAAAATTATCACAAAACAGCAAATGTTTGATTACTTGGAAAAGTTACCTGATAATAGCTGACTGATTTGTTGGACTGCAGTATTCCATATTGCTTGAGCAAATATATGATGGACTTATTTCGGAATTAATACTTTCATTTGGACAAATAGTCGTTGTAATTGAACTATTGCTTCTTTCTTTATTCTGAATCTGCCAGTTAGTCAAAGAGAGTTTCTCCCGCGAGTCTCTTCTGTCGCAGGCTTGTAAATTCCCACAGTAGGTTTTACCGTAAGGGGTGTCATTATGAAACCAGTTTGTCATATCCACTTTAAAATGGACTGGCGTCCAGATGTCTTCGGTACAACATTTTTTATATTTTAAATTCATTATCAAAAAGTGACGATTTTTTTTTTCAAATAAACACTTTGGTTCTAAGAAGTGTTTGCTTCTTTCTTTTTTTTTCTTTCGATATGTAGGCCCAGTCTAAAAATCATCATATATATATTATTAAATATACAGTTTTACAGACGCGTCAGCAAGCCAGAGCATTTTACATCACAGCGTATATATTAGTCTTTTGCTTTGATATTGTACGTCGGTAATAGAAACAATTTATTTGGAAAGATATTTGAAAACTTTATCTGATTTCCTTTTTTTTCATAAAAATGCATATTTTACAATTACAACATTCGAAACAGGAGATTTGATTAATGATATTATATACTCTGTATTACCTTTTGGTTAGAATTGCTGTTATACTCTTAAAGATTTAATGGGTTTCTCAGATATGTCGATATTTTCATTTTTTATGTGAGATTTTAGTTTTCACTTGATTTTATATCTAATTTGTAATGTATACAAAGAATTTTTCAGTCGTAGAGGTTATAATTCTTTAACAGAAAAAAGACTGCAGAGGTGATCGTTCTAATTAAAATGTAAAAAAAAAAGATACACAGAACTGTTCATCGCTTGAAAGTGGTTTTACCATAAAATTAAGTGAACGGGAACGATTTCACTTCATGCATACTAACACTTAGTATTATACTTATTATAAACTTATATTTATGATGAACTCTATAGGTAAGTTTAAACATCATTGAACGAGTTAGTTCGAAATTCATACCGATAATTAGTTTATTTTTGACTACCCCTAGAGAAGAAAGTCTATCCAGATTGTTATCATTACAAGTTGGACATATTCGTCCAGTATTTTAATTTTACGCAAAAATGATATAAACAAAAAATAAACTTGCAGATTAATATATACTTGCATGTCATTATGTATGGAATTTCGATAACATTTAAGGCTTACAGAATCGCTTATACAGTGCAGAACTCCTAGAATCAGTTGATTAATTTTCACATAAAATGTGTAATGTAAAATTAATTTTATATAAGATGTATTCATGATCAACAACAGAATATACGTATTTCTTACCAAAAACAAAAACGATATATATAGCTGGATATCGGTAGAGACTGTATTAATAAAACAGTACTAAATTTATGTATAACTGCGTAGATACATTTGCAATTTCAAATAATTTGAATAAACATAGGCAGATAGGTTGCTTGTACGCTGCATTGCCTTCGAAACGTCATTCTTCCTACGACGTGTTCAAAACAACCTTATCTGCTGTTTCCAGAGGACTGAATCGAAATTCCCAACGTGCCCACTAGATGGCAGAGCGAATGCTCCAAATGGCGATCCATAATTCGGTAAAATACAGGCATTTCGGTTTATGTCAGTATTCATGTTCCCCGTTGCAACGATAGTGTTTTTAGTATTCGTGTAAAATTCGTGATCGCGTGTACACTTCTAAGAGTGTCCACAGTCTGTTAACGATATTGCAACGGCTTTCAATGACGTGATATGTATCTCCAAACAGACCGAGTCCTGACACTTGAATGAACATCAGTTTTAAGATGGAACGCTGGGTCAGCTGTCTGTCGAGTTCGCGTCATCCTTCGCGTCGATATTCTTCTAAAATAGGAGTTACGCTCTAAAATCGGTCCTAGTGCAGTGTTCCGTTAGATGTGAAACAATTCTTTGCTTTTGGAAATGTGAAAATTCTCGTGAGGTGTATACGGAATCGAGGTGAGAAAATTTTAGCAAGAGCGGGAAAGGAAAGGAAGGCTTAGGAGACAAAAGAAAAAAACGGTAAAGGTGACAGGTAGTTGTAAGATATCGTCGTATCTATGTTTATAGCTAAAACCAAGCAGTATCTGGACGCGTACAATCGTGCGATTCATTCCATTACAATTAGTTTGTTGTGCTATCAATAATATTTAGGGTGATTTGTTTATCGAAATGATCTGACGCCTTGCGATTTTGAAAAATTCTTCCTCATCTAGTAGGGAATAAATCTTACGACGAAAAACAGTTTCGAGGATAAAGGTGTTTAACCTCGTAACATCTGTCAATTTGAAAGCTTTTTAACCTTGTTGAAATACGTATGAATTGTGAATGTTTCAATTTATTTTACCAAACACAACCTTGACGTAGAAATTCTCTGTTCAAAACAAAAGTGCCTTGATGATACATTCCCTGATACCATCGATCATTTACATTACTAAACCAGCACTTTCTTATTGGAAGATATATTAAAATTCTAACGAGTGAGAGTCACGTAGTGTTTAGTAAGTCTATATTCACGTCTTGAAATCTCGATCATCTCTTTCATGAGATATATTTTTATTATTTGATATTTCTTATAAATTTTACGGATTATCTTCTATTATATAATGAAAAGTGAAACAATATGATATATATTATAATTCAATTGTCTATGCTTCTAATACGATATTTTTATCTGTTTTTCATGAATTCCGGTAAAACAGGTTTTCATGTGAAGATACTTTTAATGGCATTCGGGTGGAGTTATGTATTACGTGACTATTAATCAGTACATTGTTTACCATTAAGCGCTATTACTAAATGGTAGAAATTCTAACAGAACAGAGAATAGCTGGAACGTCACGTCATTTAATTAACTTGTGAAAGATTGCCGTGTGCAGAGGCTTTCAAGCCGTATACTGTAATATATATAGGCTAGCAAGAGTAGTGCGTAATAAGTATGGTGGAATTATCATGAATATGGTAGAAAGTACAATAATATGTGGTTAAAATCGGAATTGTAGGTTAGGAGTCATTATTATGCGCTTTAATAGATTATTAGTATTTACGTATATAATCGTATTTTCGATTCATATTTTGTATGTACCATCAAATTATAAATTATCTAATAATATTGATATACCTTAAAAATTCTTCATTTTCCATTTTATTTCTGCGAGATTACATTTTCCGTAAACGGGTTACCTAGTTATCGTCTACTATTACTGAACAATATACATATATTAATGTATACGTTACTTCGAACCAGGTCCCTTGTTTTTTTTTCTTGCTAGTTTAAGCACGAACGAAACCATGCGGACGTGATTCGTTACGTAATATAGACTTCAGTGTTACGATGAAAAAGCCGTAGGTTGTTTGTGGTTTCTGTAATTTTCCATAATTACACAAAAAACAGTCATTAGTGTATACTGAAATTTCTATTGAACAATGCAATGCAAATTATATTGATTTTCACTTCACGCATAATCAATTGGATAAAAAGAGTTTTATACTGCTCCGTAATAATTTTTTTTAAAAATTTCCAATATAATCACTCAATTGTGATGTTACGATATAATACATACCCGTATACGTGCAAAATAGTAATTTAAAAGGCTATGTAATTAAAAAAAATTTTAATACATTTTTATAAGCTCCGATCCGTATAAATGAAAATGACAATTACACGCGTCATCGTTTTGATTGATTGTCAAAATTACTGGTCGCATGCTATGATATTTGCTTCCACTACCTAAATCTTCGAGAACTCTTCGAAATAAGACCAGTAACGCGATATGCCAATGTTTGATGTTCAGTTCACGTTTAGCATTACTTACGCGAATGTTCGGACTAGCTTTTGGCTGGAAAAAATCTGTACAAAGGCGTAGCTCTACTTGTGTTGATATCCAAGTGCATATTATCAGCCAACGCTCTATCTATCCAGATAGAAGTTCTCATCGTATATCGTTGATTTGTCAAAGCAGTGTGTTGATATGTACGTATTCCGTAATGATCTCACCTGCCGCATGCATCGTAAAGAATTCTTAAAAAGTTCATAAACATAAACTTCCGTTTCATAAAAATGTAACACAAGATCGCAAAACGAGGTCAACCACGTTCAAGTACAATAGCCTACAGATTGTAATTTTGAGCAGATTATCATTACCCGATTACGATATTCGTACACATGAATTTTTATTGGGCAACGGAACATTACTATTGATAGAAAAGTCACTCAAACTGTTTAGTTCGTTCAGTCATGTGTCATTGTATTTAATTGATAGATAGAAATGTACTTTGATCGATTAAGTAATGAAATTGGCATTGTATAAGCTAAGGTTATTATTTTTATCTGATTAACGTTAATCATTAAACCTTTTGCAATTAGGAATATTTACAAAACGAAGTGGACGAAGCTACTTGACAATTGGGTTCCGGTGGGGTCGGCAAATTCATGTGAAAATCCCTGTGTAACTGTGCCAGAATGTGAAAATTAATTAAAAGACGATAATTGTTTGTTCTCAAATTATAATTTTGAGTTATAATCAAGAGTCCTTGAAAGAAACTGAAGTTTTACGATGAAGCTCGTTCCTGTTGATTATTTGGGCTTCACGGCCATGGACCGACGCTTCAGCGGTCCCATGCTACCTTGGATTATAAGTGAGATCAAGAGAAGAGGAACTTGTAACAGAGTACGTATTTTCTTTGCATTTATTTAATCGTTCCATTAATTTAACTTGCCATTACGTGACTATTAATCAGTACACTGTTTACCATTAAGCGCTATTACTAAATGGTAGAAATTCTAACAGAACCGAGAATAGCTGGAACGTCACGTCATTCAATTAACTTGTGAAAGATTGCCGTGTGCAGAGGCTTTCAAGCCGTATACTGTAATATCCAAATGACTCTGTCACAATAATAATTATCATGTCAGTAACCATTCATTACATTTGCACATAGGGTTACGTTTCATATACAGATTTGGGTATTTAAATACGTCATAGACGTAAATGTTATTTAGGAAAAAAAAAATATGTTTAACAAGTCTCTGCCATTTATAAATTCTCTTTACAATTAGATCTCTTCGAATTGCTTTTTTCTACATTTATATACATAAGGTTGTTTCACGTCGAAACTGTTTGCGCATATAATCTGACGACAAACATAATATCGCGGCACGTATGATACACTGGATGCTGGATCGTCATCGTGTCCCCTGAAATATTTCACGTCGGAAGTTCTTATGGTATTTAGTAATATTTCATTATGTAACTTCGCAGTAGAAAATTCTTGTCTCTTGGTAAACCAATGTCAATATTAATGACTTATAAGATTCCACTTTTATTGTATTCTGACATTCTACCTACAAAGTAAATTTTCTTACAACTTCTGGCTTTTATTTCCAATTGGGTATAAGAAAAATAATATTTTTCAGTGGACGAAGGTTCTTTTGCGTTAATCTATTTTTCACTGTCATATTTAACACTAGATTTACGGAACCCGTCATTTTGACGGATGTCAAATTTCATGTTAAACCCTTAAATTCCACACTGGAGTGAATTGCAAACTCGCACCGGCTAGTATGGAATTTAAAGGTATGTAACAAAGGCGTGAAATTCGAAAATTAAAGTTACAGAAATTATAAGTATTATTTTTTAACAATTACTCTTGACGCTATTCGAGAAATACAAACAGTATAAACAGTATCACAAACTTAATAGCGTGAAATGCATCGCAAGTACGAAGTGAGAATTAACAAGAGAATAATAATAAAGTGGCTTAAACGCGCGTGTGACTTTGTTGTCTAACAGCATTATTGAGTTTATCGCAATGATAACAGCCGAATGACTTAATGCAACCTATCGATTGTTCAAGCAGTGATTATAAGTCGTCTGGGATTGGCAACAGAGTGGGGATAAAAATATAAAGAAAAAAAACCAAAAAACCACAAAAAGCATTTTCATTATTGCTAGATATGATTCATATAATTTATTCAAGGCGTGTTTACTACGTCCACTTTGAATATTGATTAAGACAATTAGGAGGTTGTATTTTGTTGTTATTGTTTTCATGGATACCGGTTTTCTATTCTGATATATGCCTTTTCTTTAGGTTTATTTGCGCTATGGTCCTAGTCCTTTAAATCGATAAAAGAGACCGGTATAAAGCGGCCGTTTTCCGTTGGTTAATTTCAAACTCATTGCGTAAACCGTTTTACGGCCTCCGATAAACACGATGTGGGCGTCACGGAATGGGAAGGGATTGGGAAGGTCAAACCAACCAATGGATAGGTGTGCGCGTAACCTAACGGTGGCGACTAATGAAGTTTACATTTATTGTTCTCAGAGAAATCTTGAATTATGTGAATTCACGTTGATCACATTAATTTTGTGCCAAGAAAAATCCATAAATATCTTTCTTTCTGATTAGCTTAGTTTATGGACGATCAAGATCCAATAGGTGTGC